GTGGCGGGGGTTTGGTCATTTTCGATTTTCGTGTAGGAGTTGCAATACGATAAAACTTCCAAAAAGTTCCGCACGCAGCTGGGTATTTTATGAATGAAATCAGCCATTTTTTTTTACAACTTACTGTTGCCCCGTAGACACAGAGTCGCTGGGCAGACAAATAGTTTCCTACTATAAGACCAAGACAGTTTTTGTTTTTGAAATTATCATATCTCCGTCACTGTATTCTAATTTCTCTCACAAATTTACATGCAAGGTCTGTTCTCACAAGATTCTCTAGCAGTTTGCAAACTACCAAAGCATCTCCCGACGTCCATAGATGTTTTCAATGCCGTCAGTCCAAGATAAATCGGCAATTTAGAACGATTGCTTCTGACAGTTGGTCAACTGTCAGAGGCTCTTGGGAGAACAGACCTACCGTCTAAGGTTAGCCTAACTTCTCCTAAATTAACCTTATTTTTCAATTTAACAGGGTGTCCAAAATATTTGTTTAAACATGTCAGTTTTAAATTCTTTGCCTTATCTATCTCCTAGTGTTGGAAAATTTATGTTTTTATGATGGATAGATGAATATTACGTAATGTTACTTAATTTGGCGTAATATTCGGTGTTTGAACACATTTTAACTTTTGGTACCTACTAATTTCAGTATTATCTTGCAAATAAAATATCAAGCAAATAGTTTTCACTTTTAATTAATGTTTCAAAATGCCACTAAATAAAAATAGAGTTTCTTTATAACTGAAAATAGACAAAACAATAAAATTCTAATGAATGAAATAAGTAAGTATTGATTTCTAATTCTAATTGTCGCCATCAGAATTCTGATCACAACCAAAACTCTCTTCGGATTCATCATCTACACTAATCTACAGTAATATTCCCAAGAATATTCCTGAAAAATTACTGAGGATTTCACGTTAAATTATCGTATAGAGGTAATATTCCTTAATTTCCTTAGAGCATCATGTAATATTACGGAATATTCCGTTGCAGTGATGCCAGGTCTGGTGAAATTTCACCAGATCTGGTGATTTTATGAAAAATCTGGTGATTGGTGAAATTTTTGGCATTTTCTGGTGATTTTGAAATTTCATCAATTTTGAATATTTTTAACAATGGCATACACTTATGAACATCCCTCGTAATGTATTAAAATTTTACTTCATTAACATAGAAATTTCATTTGTTTGACAGAAAACCAAATACCCATAAGTGGTGTGCGAGGTCCTTTGATTTTTATATAAATTTGTATTTGTTCTTATGATATATGTTTCCCTTTTTATATTTCAATTTCTGTTTATTCCAGGCTCTTGTTGCTATTGGCCGGTTATTTTTCAAGTTGGCAACATATATTTTGTTTGGCCAGTGGCGTTGCTTATGGGGGGTTTCAGTCAAACCAATCGAAAACTCGAAATTTTGACTTTTCCAATTGATTCAGCGGGTTTAAATTAATCGAAAAAAATTCTAACATCACTTTCAAAATGGCGATTTCAAAAAGCTAAAAAATCTCAATTTTCGTTCTGGAAATTTTTTCAAATCTTGACAAGGTTAGGAATAATGGCCAATTTCTTCAAAGAAATTTGAATAAATCAAAACAAATTATACAGGGTGTCCCACGGTGGATGGCGTTTTAAACGTTTATAGAGAACTAAAAAGCGGATCATTTTGAAAATTTGGCAACCGGGATAAACGACCATAATCTACACTTTAAAAATATTTTTGTTTATGCGGTGTTGCCGCTTCCACTATAAACCAGTGGAGAGAGGAAAACCAATCTTACATTCCTATCTTAGATTTTCGTAAACTATCATTTGACACCAACTTTGAATTTAACCGGAGATTAAATTTAATTGGAATTTTTAATCATGGATTAAATTCAAAATTGGTGTCAAATGATAGTTTATAAAAATCTAAGATAGGAATGTAAAATCGGGTTTTCTCTAAAATTAACCGTTCAGGTTTTACAGCCTGTCAAAGTTGCAAAAAGTCAATTTTCAAATGTCAATATTTCCAAAACAGTTGAACTTGGGTATAGGGTATATCACATGAAATCTGCTCAGAATTTTATGTAGAAGCCAAATATGCAATTAAATACGGGGTGTTTCATTTAAAATAGCGATGTTGCCACTGGTTTAGAGTAGAAGCGGCAATACCGCATGAACAAAAATATTTTTAAAGTGTAGATCACGGTCATTTATTCCGGTTGCCAAATTTTCAAAATGATCCGCTTTTTAGGTCTCCATAAACGTCTAATACGCCATCCACCGTGGGACACCCTGTATATGGTTGGAAAGAACATTAAATTCTCTATAAATCCATGCTAAATTGGTTCTGATAAGTCGAATACTTTCTGGGCAATTGGATCTCAAAGTTAACTTTTAGTTCAAATTTTATCAAAAATTTCAAACTCGATTTTCTCGAAAACCATAAGAGCTAGCGATTTTAACTAAATGCCATTTTAAAGCCCTTATCAAGAGTTAAATTTGCTAAAAATTTTAGTTCAAAATCTTTAATAGATTTTAAGATATCCAAGATCAAATATTTTGAAATAAAAATCTAAAGGGGTAAGTAACCCTTTGAAAAATTCGAATTTTTTTTGGTTCATATTTATTGAATTTTGACTTTTCCAATCGACAGAGCGGGTCTAAATTAGTCGAAAAAAACTCTAACATCATTACAAAATCTTGATTTCAACACAGAGAAAAATTGAAAAGAAAATCTCAATTTTTAGGTTTAATTTTTTTTTGAATCCTGACAAGGTTAGGAGCAATTGCCAATACCTCTATTACATTTTGAGCAAATCAAAATAAATTATATATGGTTGGAAAGAGCATCAAATTCTCTATAAATCAGTGCTAAATTGAGTTTAACTCAAATACTTTTAGAGTAATTGAGACTCAAAGTTGGATTTTAGTTGAAATTTGGTCAAAAACTTCAAACTCGATTTTCTCAAAAACCCGTAAATGCCAGCGACTTCAACTAAGTGCCATTTCAAAGCAAATTGATCCAAAATCTATAATGGGTTTCGAGAAAACTGAGTTTGAAAATTTTGAAATTAAAATCCAAAGGGGTTTAACCCTTTGAAAAAATCGAAATTTTTATTTTTCAGATTTTTTGAATTTTGACTTTTCCAATTGATAGAGCGGATCTAAATTAGTCGAAAAAAACTCTAACTTCATTTCCAAATCTCGATTTCAAAAGAGAAAAAAAATCAAATTTCTGGAGAATTTAATTTTTTTGACCTGGCAACAGTGCAAAAGTACAGTTATTTGGTAGTTTTTTTTTTTACCTGGAAAGTTTTCCGGGTTTTTTAAAATTGGTTATTTTGACGTTCTCTCTTCAGTCTTTCCATCTCTGGTCTTTCCAAATTTTCACTTTGATATGGACAAAAACTGAAACAAAAATAAATGGGAAATATTTGAGTGAAAGGAAGAATTTTAAACTTTGGTTTACTAGTTGTAGAAATCTGTTACCAATGCTAGTTTCAGAATTCTAGTGTTTATAGAGTTTATACCATCAGTCATCAGTGCTACTTTTTTTATTGTTTAAGTTGTTTACTGTATCTTTCTTAGCTCTGACATCTGATAGTTGTTTGAATTTATCAAATCTACGTGTAGGTGTTACAATCCTATTAAGTATATCTTGACTTTCCGCTGGATCTAGCACCGTTGACAAGGCATTAATTATGCTTTAAGTTTTCCCACTTTTTTTTTGAATTCCCTCTAGTTTCATCAATTTTTTCCTGATAGTAATTTTTTTTTGTTCTCTTATTTTTCGCACTACTAAATTTCTTTGTCATCTTCTTTCTGAGTTTGTGATTATTGCTCTTTTGTATTTTCCATCTCTATCTGTTATAATTTGCTCTATTTCTGGTATTCAGTATTCACCATTGCTTGTTACCCCATTCACATACCATAGGAGCATGATGATTAACTTTTTCTTCTATTGTTTTTACTAGTACGTTTGTCATATCAAAATTTTCCATATTTTCCGGACATTAACCACCACCATGTTAACTTCTCATCTTCTGGATTTCAGTAGTAAAAAACTGAAAAGTGAAATACAAATAAAAAACAAAAATACCTTGCAAAAACAACTAAAACTCACTCAATTAGGTACCTCATTTTCAAGACTTTTGATCATCCGACAATATCAAAAAAACTAGAGGATGTCACAAAAAAAAAACGACTTCCCTAATGATAATCTTTTTGATGTCGACTATGTCACTCCTCACCACAAAATATTAAAACGAAAATACAAATACAACGTCCGTCCTCTTCAGAAGAAAATTTTTCTTGACACAAACCTTATGGTGTTTACACATACATCATCTGGTGTTCTATTTTTATAAGTACCCCCAAAGATTAAAAGCTTCCCAGTAGTAGCTTCTCTCACGAGCCGATGGGTTTTTTCTTATCAGTCGTGCAACAGCAACAGACTCGGTAATTTACTTGACACTCGGGTTTTGTATGTAAAGTATAATATGTAAAAAGTTCTAGTGCTGTTGCAAAAACCAAATCGTCCTACGAAATATTTGTGTCCCATTGATGGAACAATATCCGGTGACCGGTGCTACATTAATTAATTTTAATAATTGTTATTGTTACAAGGACAATTAATTAGTCAAGCTATAGTTTTACGGAGTTTGAAACAATATCGCTACTGCCTACTTCCTTTGAAAAACAATGTGATGTGACCCAAATTGATTAATATTATAGTGAAAGAAGAATTCCTTGTTTTGTAAAATCAAAATGCTAAAGCACGCTTTAAGAACTTGTTACGATTTGGACACGGGACACAAATCGGGTGTCCGTAAAAAATTGTCCTTAGGTGATTTACGGTTGCGAAGAAAGTCGGGTACCTATGAAAACATTCAAATTCTTAAGAAATATTTAAGAAGAAGGAACTCGATATCGTGGCCTAATGCTTGTGAGGTATTTTTTTTTTTGAGTGAAAGTGATTTTAAAAAAATTGAGATTGTATGACTATTGTTTCAGATTGACTATCCAGACATTGATCCGAGTAGGAGGGTACAAAATCCTACGATAATGGAACATCAACAGCACAGACCGATAAGCATTATGTTTGACGACGCTGTAAGTATTTTATATGCATATTTATTTTTATTAATTATTAAAATTAAGAGCATTTTTAATGAATTGAATCTACGGTGACAATTATAATTGACGTCATTCGCACACCATATAGAGTGCTAATTTTATTAATTTATTAGGTAAATGTTTTTCTCGTATCTATTATTATAATTATTGGCAAATATTCCTCTGATTATGTAACTATTTTATTTCATCGGTGTTTTATTATTGTTTCCAAAATGCTAATTGGTTGTATTGGAGGTGCAATATTCTGCTGTAAGCAGTTGAAGGTTTTCATGAATTCAGCATTGAATCTTATTGAATGTTTACACATGATGATGATGATGATCTTGATGATAAAAAAATTTAAAAAATTCAATGACCCTTTGGATTCTTGTTTCAAAATATTCAAGCTTCAATGTCTGGAAATCCGTAAGAGATGTTGAATCAAAATTTTTAGGAATCGTAACTCCTATTGAGCTCTAAAAAACCTGTATTGGAAAGTATTTTCAGGTGTAACATTTTTGAGAAAATTGAATTTGAAGTTTTTGACTAAAATTCAAATTCAAGGCTCAATTGCTCAAAAAAATATTTGAGCTATCAAACTCAATTTAGCACATATTGGAATTCATTGTAAAGAATTTGAGAACATCGTCCACACCGCCGTAAACACCAACCAAAGTCAATATGTTTCAACATATATAGTTCACATGTGCCGTTGGTTAGCCATGTGAAAATTTGTAGCAGTGCGCACCTCCTCGTTACGACCAGTAGCTAAACAGAAGGAAATATCACGTGAGACTTTAGGAAGAGAACTGAATATGCATAAGTTTCATCCCTATAAAATGCAAATACTTGAAGTCTATAAAGATGATTTTGATAGGAAGGAGAATAAAGTTTTGTGACCTCATGTCCAATCGACTCAAGGCCATCCATAATCTTCTACCGAATATCTGATGTAGCGATGAATCTTCATGAAATCTCCATCTTATATAGAACAAAAGAGTTTCACAGTGGCTACTCCCTTGGAATAACCTTATACAAACCTCAAAATTATGATTATTTTTTCAATATTTGATGGATCTCCAGAGATATTTTGAGATTTCCTTTGCCTTTGGATTACCAAGGATATCATATGATTCTTCATGAAATCTCCATCTTATATAAGACAGAAGAGTTTCACAGTGGCTACCCCCTTGGAATAACCTTGTACAAACATCAAAATTATGTTTATATTTCTTCAATATTTGATGGATCTCCAGAGATATTTTGAGATCTCCTTTGAATTACCAAGGATATCATATGAATCTTCATGAAATCTCCATCTTATATAAGACAGAAGAGTTCTAGAGTAGCTACCCCCTTGGAACAAGCTGCACTAACACCAAAATTATGATTATCTTTTCAATACCTGATGGATCTCCACAGATATTTTGAGGTCTCCCTTGGATTACTGAGGATATCATATGAATCTTCATGAATTCTTCATCTTATATAGGACAAAAGAGTTTCACAGTGGTTACCCCCTTGGAACAACCCTGTTCAAACATCAAAATTATGATTGTTTTTCCAATATTTGATGGATCTCCAAAGATATTTTGAGATCTCCTTTGGATTATCTACCAAGGATATTATATGCATATGAATTTTCATGGAAACTCCATCTTATATGGGACAGAAGAATTCCACAGTGGTTACTTTCTTGAAACAACCCCGTACAAACATCAAAACTATGATTATTTTTTCAATATTTGATCGATCTCCAGGGATATTTTAAGATCTCCTTTGGATTACCAAGGATATCATATGAATCTTCATGAAATCTCCATCTTATATAAGACAGAAGAGTTCTACAGTAGCTACCCCCTTGGAACAAGCTGCACTAACACCAAAATTATGATAATTTTTTCAATACCTGATGGATCTCCACAGATATTTTGAGGTCTCCCTTGGATTACTGAGGATATCATCTGAATCTTCATGAATTCTCCATCTTATATAGGACAAAAGAGTTTCACAGTGGTTACCCCCTTGGAACAACCCTGTTCAAACATCAAAATTATGATTGTTTTTCCAATATTTGATGGATCTCCAAAGATATTTTGAGATCTCCTTTGGATTATCTACCAAGGATATTATATGCATATGAATTTTCATGGAAACTCCATCTTATATGGGACAGAAGAATTCCACAGTGGTTACTTTCTTGAAACAACCCCGTACAAACATCAAAACTATGATTATTTTTTCAATATTTGATCGATCTCCAGGTATATTTTAAGATCTCCTTTGGATTACCAAGGATATCATATGAATCTTCATGAAATCTCCATCTTATATAAGACAGAAGAGTTCTACAGTAGCTACCCCCTTGGAACAAGCTGCACTAACACCAAAATTATGATTATTTTTTCAATACCTGATGGATCTCCACAGATATTTTGAGGTCTCCCTTGGATTACTGAGGATATCATATGAATCTTCATGAATTCTTCATCTTATATAGAACAAAAGAGTTTCACAGTGGTTACCCCCTTGGAACAACCCTGTTCAAACATCAAAATTATGATTGTTTTTCCAATATTTGATGGATCTCCAAAGATATTTTGAGATCTCCTTTGGATTATCTACCAAGGATATTATATGCATATGAATTTTCATGGAAACTCCATCTTATATGGGACAGAAGAATTCCACAGTGGTTACTTTCTTGAAACAACCCCGTACAAACATCAAAACTATGATTATTTTTTCAATATTTGATCGATCTCCAGGGATATTTTAAGATCTCCTTTGGATTACCAAGGATATCATATGAATCTTCATGAAATCTCCATCTTATATAAGACAGAAGAGTTCTACAGTAGCTACCCCCTTGGAACAAGCTGCACTAACACCAAAATTATGATTATTTTTTCAATACCTGATGGATCTCCACAGATATTTTGAGGTCTCCCTTGGATTACTGAGGATATCATATGAATCTTCATGAATTCTCCATCTTATATAGGACAAAAGAGTTTCACAGTGGTTACCCCCTTGGAACAACCCTGTTCAAACATCAAAATTATGATTGTTTTTCCAATATTTGATGGATCTCCAAAGATATTTTGAGATCTCCTTTGGATTATCTACCAATGATATTATATGCATATGAATTTTCATGGAAACTCCATCTTATATGGGACAGAAGAATTCCACAGTGGTTACTTTCTTGAAACAACCCCGTACAAACATCAAAACTATGATTATTTTTTCAATATTTGATGGATCTCCAGGGATATTTTGAGATATCCTTTGGATTACCAAGGATATCATATGAATCTTCATGAAATCTCCATCTTATATAGGACAAAAGAGTTTCACAGTGGCTACTCCCTTGGAATAACCTTATACAAACCTCAAAATTATGATTATTTTTTCAATATTTGATGGATCTCCAGAGATATTTTGAGATTTCCTTTGCCTTTGGATTACCAAGGATATCATATGATTCTTCATGAAATCTCCATCTTATATAAGACAGAAGAGTTTCACAGTGGCTACCCCCTTGGAATAAACTTGTACAAACATCAAAATTATGTTTATATTTTTTCAATATTTGATGGATCTCCAGAGATATTTTGAGATCTCCTTTGGATTACCAAGGATATCATATGAATCTTCATGAAATCTCCATCTTATATAAGACAGAAGAGTTCTACAGTAGCTACCCCCTTGGAACAAGCTGCACTAACACCAAAATTATGATTATTTTTTCAATACCTGATATTTTGAGGTCTCCCTCCCTTGGATTACTGAGGATATCATATGAATCTTCATGAATTCTCCATCTTATATAGGACAAAAGAGTTTCACAGTGGTTACCCCCTTGGAACAACCCTGTTCAAACATCAAAATTATGATTGTTTTTCCAATATTTGATGGATCTCCAAAGATATTTTGAAATCTCCTTTGGATTATCTACCAAGGATATTATATGCATATGAATTTTCATGGAAACTCCATCTTATATGGGACAGAAGAATTCCACAGTGGTTACTTTCTTGAAACAACCCCGTACAAACATCAAAACTATGATTATTTTTTCAATATTTGATGGATCTCCAGGGATATTTTGAGATCTCCTTTGGATTACCAAGGATATCATATGAATCTTCATGAAATCTCCATCTTATATAGGACAGAAGAGTTCCACAGTGGCTTCCTTGCAAAAATTAAAATACAACTACAAAAAGTAGAATAGGATAATTAACAGATTCACCTAGCCTTTCCAGTAATTTAATACAATTTAAAGAATTAACTGTATGTCTCTTGAAACAAGGAAGATCAGTACAAAAAAAATCAGCACTACCACACTTTGAATTTGCCAGCCCACATATTCTGGACATAGGACTATTTAACCCATAGTTAGTTATATGAAAATCTATAAATTATGCTGACGACGGATTAATCTTTGAGGTACTCTAAGTGCCAGTACTTTTGCTCTCATTTGACAGTTGTTAAAAATAATCAGGGGTTTGAACGTGCTCTAACCACATTATACTTATAGACTTTGGCCCATGCAAAACTTTGACAACGTATCAAATTCGTTAATCCAGAGCAAAAGTATCGGCCCTAAAAATAATATTACTTAACAATTCAGCTGTCATGCCATTGCCAACTCGTTTCGTGACAGCTAAAAGTATTATCCGGTAATCCTGAAACCTCTTGTGGTATTACATTCGATAATCCTACTAATATACTATTATCCAACACCTGAGTTATTAAAATAATTATTTGTGCCAATTTAAGGTAAACTATTAAATAACTCACTCTCTTATAATGTCAACGCATTATTCTCGAAACAGGAGAGCAGCGTTCTCATGAGAACGAAGGTTCTGTCTTCGTCGCTCATATCTATATTTTCATAACACTGATAAAGACAGAAGTTTCGTTCTTATGAGCACGCTGTTCCCCGGTTTCAAGAATGAGGACCCAGATAACAGTATCCTTATTCTTGA